TCCCTTCTAATTCTCCCCAAAGTGCCGGGTTACTTTATTGGCCAACCCCACCGGCCCACCCCTCACGGAGTACAAAAAAACCCAAAGCCAACAGCGAGAGCTGGAAAAATGTGCAACGTCAACGCGCTCGGAGTCTACGTGTGGGAGACGATCGTTTTCTTCAGGTAAGGCTCGGCTTTACGGGGAGAGTGTGCGCGCACCGGGAGCTGCCGGGCTGGACTGCCGTGCCCACCCCAAGCTCGGGGAACAGCCCCCAGGCACAGCCTCAGCCTTAGAACAGCGGCGCTCCCCCTTTCGCCTCCTCTCGGTTCCCCGAGACTGGCTATCGCACAGCCCCGGGCTCGGGACTTCCCGCGGCTTTGAGAGTTACTCCGTTTAATTAGCACCGCAATCTCGCTAACCGCAGTGCTGAAAACACCGACCCCGGCTGGTTGCAAAGTGACAACTAGTGGCGGGTGGGAATGTTGCACTTGAATTCGCCCGGGTAAATATTCCCACCTCGCCCCATCCCCATCCTCTGATTGCAGGTTAAGGTGAGTTCCGTGGGATGCTTTCACTGCTCACCTGCACTGTCTTGAGAAATCATGAACCCTCCTTGAAAAGGAGTCTGACATCTCCCTAGCTTGCTATATCTAAAGTCACTGAAAGCAAAGAAAAAACCTCCTTCCTTCCCAACTTTTTTCTTTGATGTTGGTTTCAACATCTTTCCTTTGCAGAACCTAAATGAAAGCCAAAGGGGATGCGGGAAGCTTTTTGCAATTGTATCCATCACAACCTAGTTGTATTTTGATTCCGTTTTACATATGTTGAGTTTCTCTTTAAAGCTAAGGTAGAAGGAGCAGTTTTAGCCTGAAAGATTTGTTTCTGGTTAATCTCTCCTTTCAGTGCTTGTATTAAATGGGAAAAAAATATTGTAAGGTAGAAGCTCTTCTCTATTTGTATGAATAATGCAGCCTGCTGTAGCAAGTGATAGATGCCAGATATATGCAATTTAAAAAACAAAACAAAACCACACACCACAACAAAAAAAAAAAAAAAAAAAACACAACACACAACAAAGTGTTCCTCTTCCATGACCTGAACTTGCTCCATCTTAGACTTCATTTCAATTGCATAGCTCTTACTTCTGCATTTCTGTATTTTATCAAAGTCTCATCTTCTAGTTTAATGTGAAAGAGGAGGCATTATTTACATATACAACACTGGGGTAATGCTGATTGTTTTATGAATCATAGTAACAGACCTGCTGATACTTGCCTAACTTTTCAGCTAGCTATCTTTTTTCTTTTGAACACTGAAGTCTTTCCAGGCATAAAAACTGGGATATCTCTACTTTTCCCTATAATTCCACAGGGAAAAAAAAAAAAAATAAATCTAAAGACAGCAAGATTATAAACATTAAATGCTTTGAGTTCACATTATCTATTAAGTAAATCAAGAGAAGAAGTTCTAGAAATAAGTAAAATCAATATCTGAAAAGCAATGCCCAAATCCCAATACTTCAGCGCCATCCTTTCTCAACTTATTTAGTCACAATTGTATAGCAACACTGCACACTAGAGTGGGGTGGACTAATAGGAAGCACATGTATGTGCAATAAGCTCTTTAGTTAAACTATGTTTAAACTATGCATAGTTATAAACTCCCTAAGATTAAACACCAGAAATGCTCTGTAATCTTGCCTGTAAATAAGCTAGGAAAACTTAAAAAGAGCATTTCCAGGTTTGAGTTTCCTATGGCCCTGACATTAAAATATCTGTCCATCTCTCCTCTGAACTGCCTGAACAAGTAAAATTGATACATACTTGTCTTGCTGATCCTGTTCTGTAATGCACACCTATGCATCACACAATACATAAGCACTTACTGATTCTCAGCACATCAGCTGAAGTCCTGGGCATTCAAAACCTTGATAAACCAGTCCCTTCAGGTTCTAATGTAAATGTTTATACTGTTATAAATTACATACATATATGCTATATATGTTTATATCATATTGAATACAAAAGATATTTCTGGAAGTCAAATTTTCTTTAAATTAATGGTTAAGAGAATTTGAAAACGCTTTAACTCAATTACAGGGAGAGGTGGATACCAAGTTGTTTTATATACTGAGATAATTTTTCAAACAAGAAGAAAACCCAAACCAGCAGTTCCTGCTCAGAAATGACTGTATGCAGTGTTTTTCTTTTTTCTCCTGCACTGTGTTATGTGTTCAATATTTATTACAGACCAAAAATCCACCAGCCTTTCTAGTCCAGGAATAGCTTTGCTATTGTAGTTTCAGTAAGAGAATTTTATTCATTAAGAGTCATTGATAAATTGTGTGCCAGTTACTCTCACAATCAGTAATACATAATGTTTAAAACACACACAACTTGATAACCCAATAATGCATAACTGAAGTGTGCATTCCTTTAAATTACACGATGTGCCACACTATTGTCAGCCTGTCAAAAGTATTCTGGAAGGAGAAGCCGTTATATGTTAGCACACAGATCACAAAAAGAAAAATCCAAAGTCCGAAGGAAAACTAGATATAGCCAATGCAGGAAGTAAGACTAAATCTGTTGCTTAACAAAAATGTCCTTCACCAGCCTTTTAAAAAAACAAGACCCTGTAGGAAAGACCAACAGCTGGTGTGTGAATGCAAACATGGTACCACCAACATGGTATTTCTTTCTGTTACTGTTGGGATGTTTCAGAAAGAATTTGCAATAAGCAGCTTTTTCTGATACCCCTTTCTTTAAAGGAGAGCATTTCCCATTTTGTTACCTGCCTTCTCAGACTGCAGTCACTTAGCTGTGACTAAGACTTTTACTGAGAACCTGGGTAGAGGCAGGGATGAGGTAGGAGATGAGGAGTCTTCTGACAGACAGGCTTCTTGACCAACATTTCCTTGCATGTATCTATGTAAGGCAAAAAGCCATTTCTTGAAAATAAAAATATATTGAACAATATTTCCACAGGAACTTCCAGAAGTCCTGCTTATACCTGTGGAGACATATACAAACATTCTCCCAAAGTCTAACTACATGTTCATATCCTGGTTCAGCTCTGAATTCCTTCATGCAGAACAAAAAGCTACCCCTGCCCTGTGATGATCTTGCCTGGACTTTTTGTACCATCACACTTTAACAGCTGCAGTGATCCAGAAACACCACTGCATAAGCCTGGGTGTAGGGATGCACCTTGTATACATTAGGAGATAAAAAAGAGCCCACAACTGCCACCTTACTCAACCAGATGCTGTCCTGGGAGGTTTTGAAATACTTTGGGCCTGATTCTTGTCCTAGTGGCACTTCTGTATATCAGGAATCAGAAGCATGACCTTCACTGAATCAAGATCACAGTTGGCCCCTCCTTAACAACAGTCTGTCAGCTAGCAGGGGTGATTCAAGGCTACTGATCTAAGTGATTCACACACTAAAAGTTGCTGCCAGGCTCAGACCCTATTGGATTGCTCTAACTGGCTTTTTTCATAGTCCACTCTGTCAGTAAAAGGGCTCCTCGATTCCAGTTTTTAAAACGGGAAGATGATGCCAGTGTGAATATGCTGCCTCTTAACTTTATGAAAAGACTGACATTTTTCTCTAAAACAGACTTGACAAGTAAGTGATTGGAGAGCTGTTGATTTCATCCCCTTGAAAATACAACAAAAGAAAATGCAGGGAAAGAAAAAGGAGAGTAAAGTGCATGTTGGCTCCAAACCTTCTGCTAGAGCTCTGCAGTGCTAGACAGCATTATAGAAGTACCTGTGAAAAAAGTACTGACCAGAGATTTCCAGAGCCACAACCTGAGCAATGAATTCTCAGTAGTTAAAGAGTATTTTCCTCACACTAACTAAAATCCACTAGAAGTTGTGCCTTATGACTAGTTGTGCCTCTACCAAGCCTGTCTGCCCTTCCCCCCGCCCCCAGTCAAATGATTTAGCAAAGGCTTGGACTAGATGGCTCTAAGGACACTGTCTTCTTTGGTTTGCAACATATAACCACCCCATTAGAGACTCTGCCGAAAGGGTTATGTATTTAAAAAAAAAAAAAATTATGAGTAAGGCTACTCTACCTAGAACTCTTATAAATCATTCCCCAATAAAGAGTAATTTGGTGCCATCCAGTAGAAGCACAAACTATCTATGACCCTGCATTCTGCAGGATCTTTATACACACTTCCATCCAACTGTAATAATTCTCTTGCTTTTTATGCATTGAAGACAAATCAACATAAAGTACACAAAACATTTTCTACCAGTGTCTATGCTTAACCTTCTTCTCTAAAAAGCTGCTTTAAATGACTCTAGACCTGGTCTTTGGATAAATCAGAACAAAAGAAAGGCTCCACAAATGTTTGGGCAAAATCCATTTGCTCCCCTGTATGTCAGGTGCAAGGAGCAGGATAACCACAGACAGTCACCTTGCTTAATAAAAACACTACAAAGTGCTGCTGTTTCTCACATGCACTAATAAAAAAGCTTTCTCTGTCTCTTCTGAGACACTGGTGCTGTGCAGATCTTAGGTAATATAGACTAGCTGTCCACCTTGACACCCACTGAACACTACCCTGTACTGCAGCAAGTCCCACTGGCAGAACAGGTACTTATTGTTCCAGTACTTGAAGGGAGCTGCTTCTGGGAAGAGATCAATATATGTAAGAGTAGCATCCTACTGGTCCTTCCACATAAGAGCATTACATTAATTGTCTACAGAGACTTGCTTTAAGAACAAGAATTTAGGCATGGGAATTTGGTCCCACTTATTTCTCTTCTCCCATGAAAGAGGTGTTGGAGACCCTTAGGTATCAAGCAATTCAGCAAGGGCCCCTGTGACTCTAAGTGTCTCAGATATAACAGACTAAAAGCTAAGAAGTTCATTCCACTACTAATTAAAGTGATTCAAAAGTCAAAAAGGAAAGCACTTATAAGCAACAGCCCACTGCAGTTCCCCTGGTCTTGGGTAGACACTTTCCTTGCTGGTTTACAAAATCCACCTCGCCAAATCATCGCAAGTTTACCTGGATAGAAAAGAATCCCAACATCCGAATTAAGATGTTAATTAATGTCTAAAAATAAATTATTAGCCCAGCACCGACCAGTGATCATTTATCTGTAACAGAAAACCAGCAGGGAAGTCTGTTCTCATTTCATCCTATCATGCAGGTTAAAAGG